CTAGAGTCAGCAATACATATTAATAACTAATCTGGCTAGAGTCATGTAAGTATCTCACACTAACAAATTACTTCCTGTGTATCATTGTTACCAAGTTGTAATCATAGAATATATTTTATGATTATTTTGAAATACTGTCTGTGACAGTAAGTGAAAACCAAACGGCCAGATGTATGACTCGGCCTGATTTATCCTCTGTCTAAATGAACTGAAATAGACTATCTCATTAGAAAAACAGAATCACACCCAATATTAATGCTGCATCTTTCACGTAATCATAGAATATATTTTATGATTATTTTGAAACACTGTCTGTGACAGTAAGTGAAAACCAAACGGCCAGATGTATGACTCTGCCTGATTTATCCTCTGTCTAAATGAACTGAAATAGTCTATCTCATTAGAAAAACAGAACCACACCCAATATTAATGCTGTATCTTTCACATTAGACTTTGAAGACAGATCCTGTATCAGTGTTTTAGCTCCTAGAGTCAATGCACTGGGAAAGAAAACATCACTTTCAAACAATTGAGTGGCCTGGCTAAATCATGGATCAAACAGCAGCAGGAACAGTGTTCAAACAAGGCCACATCATGTCTAAGCCAGTGATCTTGGTACAAAGAAGAGCTGAGTTAAAAAAGAAGACTCAGTTGCCTGCACAAGATCAAGACAGTCAACATTCCACCATAGCTAGGGAAGGGGCCCACATGACCCCCATCCCTAGCTGAGGAGCTATTGATAGTAGATGGTTGCTGGAGGAGGGAAAGTCAGTTTTCATCAAGGGTGTGACCCTAGTAGATCAAACATTCTCCTGTGGATGGCCCCCCACTCCCACAAGTATGTGGTTAGCAAAAATTAGACTCTGTGGGTTATTTAAAACAAAGAAAGAGAATCTTAGACAAAGAACTACTGGTTACTGCTGCGTACCCCATGGATGAACTTTCACTGAGGAATGTCTAGGGATGCTAACTTTACCCACTAACCCTTAACATAAAGGACAGGATGCATGAAATCCAGTGGGGGAGGTGTTTATGGGAGAATGCCAATGGAGAAGGGGTATAAACATAAGATGTTGTGTATGAAATATACAAAAGTTCACTAAAAATAAACAAAAAAGAGAGACAAAGAAAGAAACATGAAGTTAGGAGGGGTAGGGGTGGGTGTATCTAAGAGGAGTTAAGGGGAAGACTGGGGTGAATAGGGTCAGTATTTTGTGTGCATGTTTGAAATTCTCAAAGATTTGATAAAATTTTACTTTTCAAAAGGAACACTCAAGAGAAGTGGACAGGATAGCAACATAGAAAAATCTGTGGATTGAGAGTATTTAGAATTATTATGACATAGCAATTTTAATTCATGGGAAACAGCGAATTGTCTTCGTGTTTCTGCAGGTGGATGTCTATGGATGGTCCCAACACCAGTTCAGAAGAAGGCTTCATCTTGGTCGGCTTCTCTGATTGGCCTCACCTAGAACTTGTCTTTTTTGTCTTCATTTCTATTTTCTACTCTCTAACGATCTTTGGCAACACCTTGATCATCATTCTGTCAAGACTGGACCGTCGACTGCACACACCCATGTACTTCTTCCTCGCCCACCTCTCCTTCCTGGACCTCTGCTACACCACCAGCACTGTGCCCCAGCTCCTGGTCAATCTCTCTGGACTTGACAGAACCATCAGCTTCGGAAGGTGTGTGGCCCAGCTCTTCATAGTCCTCTCTTTGGGAGGCGTTGAATGTGTGCTCTTGGTGGCAATGGCCGTTGACCGCTACGCTGCTGTGTGTCGTCCACTCCACTACACAACCGTTATGCACCCCTTTCTCTGTAGGGCATTGGTTGCATTCTCCTGGGTGGGAGGCCTCGTGAACGCTCTGATTCAGACAGGCCTCATGATGGCCAGGCCTCTCTGTGGTCACCAACTGAATCACTTCTTCTGTGAGATGCCTGTTCTCCTGAAGTTGGCATGTGAGGACACAGGAGGAACAGAGGCCAATTTGTTTGTGGCCCGAGTCATAATCTTGGTCTGTCCTGCAGTGCTAATTCTAGGCTCCTATGCATACATCGCCAGGGCTGTGGTGAGCATCAAGTCATCGGCTGGCCGCAGAAAGGCTTTTGGGACCTGTGCATCCCACCTCATTGTGGTGTCTCTATTTTATGGCTCAGCCATCTCCACATATCTCCAACCTGTGCACAGGTATTCCGAGAGTCAAGGAAAGTTTGTGGCCCTTTTTTATACTGTAATTACCCCCATGCTCAATCCTCTGATTTACACCCTGAGGAACAAGGATGTGAAGGGGGCTCTGTGGAAGGTGCTGGGGAGAGGCATGGACTCCAGATAGGAAAGAAAGGAATGCCTGTACAGTATTGAATATTAGAATGGTGTAAACGTAATTGCAGCTTCTGCATTGTTAGATTTGCTGTTTGCTACTGGAATGTGTTCTATTAGAATGGTGTAAACGTAACTGCAGCTTCTGCATTGTTAGATTTGCTGTTTGCTACTGGAATGTGTTCTTAGTAAATGTTGTCAGAGTATACATAGTTTTACTGGGAATTTCTCACATTATGTTTTTTGTTAATGACTGATTATTTGCTATTTATTTTATATTTATTTTGTATTATGGAAATGATGTTTGACAAAAAGAAAATTCAATCAATATTCTTATTTGAGTTAAAAATGGGTCGTAAAGCAGCAAAGACAAGTCATAATATCAAGGACCTGCTAATGAATGTAGAGTGACTCAGTGTTGGTTCAAGATGTCCTTTAGGGCCAGCTAAATGACTCAGCGGGTAAAGGTGCTTGCTGTTGAGCCTGATGACCTGAAGGTCTGCATGTGCAAAACCACATGCACATACACATGTGCAAAATAAATAAATATTTAAATTTTAAGTTGTTTTGTAAAGACAATAGCCTTGAGGATAAGGAGCATAGTGAATAGCCATTGGAAGTTGACAATGACCTAAGAAGAATATCAGTAAAGCTGTTCTTCTTACATCTACTCAAGAAATTGACAAGGAATTCCATGCAGACTACTCGATGGTCATTAAGCATTTGAAGCAAACGGGAAAGGTGAAAACTCTCAATAAGTGGTACCTCATCAGCTGACCAAAAGAAAAAGTTTAGTGTCATTTTCATCCTCTTTTTAAAAAGTATTTTATTATTTTATTTTATGTGTATGAGCATATTGCTTGCATGTAGGTGGGTGCACCCATGTCATGCAATGCCCGTGGAGGTCAGAAGAGGGCGTCAGATTCCCTGGAACCAGAGTCATGGATGCTGGGACTCAAACCTAGGTCCTCTGCAAGAGAAGCCACTGCTCTTAACCTCTGAGCCATCTCTCCAGTGCATCCTCTCTTATTCTGTGCAACAACAATAAAGCACTTCTCAGTCTGATTGTGATATGTCACAAAAAGTGGATCATACAACAACCAACAATGTCCACCTCCATGGTCAGACTGAGCAAAAGTGCCAAAGAACTTCCCCAAGCCAAATCGCACTAAAACAAGGGCATGGTCACTGTTTGGTGGTCACCTGCTTGTCTGATCCACTACACCTTTCTGAATCCTGGCAAAACCATTGCGTCTGAGAAGTGTGCTCAGCAAATCACAGGATGCACCAAAAACTGCAATGCTCCAGCCACACTGGGCAGCAGAAAGGGGCCAGTTCTCCATGACAACTACAACTGCTGGTCAAAAACCAATACTTTAAAAGGTGAACAAATTAAGCTATAGAGTTTTGCCTTACCCAGTATATTCACCTGACCTGTCACCAACAAACTACTACTTCTTTAAGCCTCTTGACAATTTTTTGCAGGGAAAACACTTCCACAACCAGCATGATGCAGACAATGCTCTCCAGGAGTTATCGAATCCTGAAGCATGGGTTTTTACACTACAGGAATAAACAAACATTTTTGTCATCAGCAAAATGTGTTGATTATAATGGTTCCTATTTTGATTGATACTGATATGTTTGAGCATAGTTTTCATGCTTTAAAATTAACGGTCCAGAACTTTTCGCACCAACCTATTATCTCTCTTATTAGACCTACCCCTTCTTTGGAAGACCACTGGTTACGAGAATATACCCCTTATTAGGCTTCATGGTTTGATTTCCTTTTTTGTACAGAAGTTGGAAGTGGTGATCTCATGAAAAGCATTCTAGTTTAGTGTTCGTGATCTATGCGCATCATGTTGACACATAACTTACTAAAGGCATGAGTTTGAGAAGAAGGAGAGTGATCCTTCTTCAGAGAAGGGGCGTGGGTTCTAGGCGTGTCTGGTAGTGAGAGAATACGAAGCTCAGAATAAGAGCACCTTCCAGAAGTCAATATTCAGTGCTGGGCCAGGCAGAAGGAACCTTCCCTAATCAGAGGACAAGAATTCACCCCTCACTCATTATGACCCTAGCCGTGTCCCCTCCCATTTCAGGACCCATTTCTCATATCTTTTACAGTGGTTATTTTATAATATGTGTATCAATAAAACACTGAACATTGTTGCTACATATAAATGCATGGTTTATATATGTGTGTGTATATATATGTGTGTGTGTGTATGTGTGTGTGTGTGTGTGTGTGTGTAGTGAGTCCATTTCAGTGACACGTGCACATGTGTTTAGAGATACTACTTGGAACCGGATAACCTATCAGGGAGCTTGTCCCTGGAGAAAACTGATTCTCCCTCCCTCAGAGCTATCGACTGCCTGTAGCTCTTCATCTAGAGGGGACCCTGTGAAATGTCCCCCATCCATATTGTCATGTCCGCTGTGTTTTCATAGTGCAGATTTTGTTGAATGAACCCTGCTGTGGAGATCTCATGGATGCAGCTTCCGTACCATGCCTACAGCACACTGCCCAGCAGCCATCCTGATCCTCTGCCTCTGACCATCTTTCCAGCCCTTCTTCTGTGATGTTCCCTGAGCCTTAGGTTTAGGGGTTGCATTGTAGACCTGTCCGTTGGGGCTGGGCGCCACACAGTTGCTTATTCTGTACATTTTAATAAGATGTGAAACTTTGCAACAGACTCCATTCTTGCAAAAAAAAAAAGCCTCTTTGATTAGTGGTTGGAGCTACACTTACCTGTGAATTTAAGTATTTAGAGTATAGTAAAAAATTACATTGGTTTAGGATGGTGGCAGTACTAGGTTCTCCGCTAGGGTCTGTGGGCTCTCCAACCATGTATATTTGGCTATGCTTACAGCACCATGCATGGATTTCCTCCTATTGAGAAGATGCTAAGTCCAATTAAGTAGTTATTGATTACACTCAAGAGATAAGAGTGTCACTACTGCACCAATACAGATATTTCCTGAGCCAGTCATTTTTGTGGTTCATACAGTTTACAGCTGGGGAGGACCACAGATTGGTTTTCTCTCCTGGCAGTTTGCATAGCACCTTCCAATGCAATGAAAGCTAATCTTTGGGGAGGACTCTTCTAGTCAGTTCCAGCTCAATTTCTCCAAGTCCTGTGTTCAAAATGTGTGGCATTTTCAGCAATAGTATCTTACCTTCAAGTTTTGGGAGGCAATCAAAGGCTATGTTAATAACCTATATTATTTTAGGAATCTCAGACTACCCTGACCAACAGTTTGAAGGGAGGTTTTCCTTGCCAGAAATGGCAATGGGATTTTTGTTAGATCATCTTCAGCTATACAGACATGCTCACGTTTATATTATACATGTATATTTAAGAAAGCTTGTGAAATAACACACTCCCCTAAGGTTTTTCAGACAGCTTTAGTGTTATCTCTCTGCCATTCCTCTCCCCGTATGCCCTCCCTTTCCCTTCCCCAGTCAAAGCACATGCCCTACTTTTCCCATTTCCCCACTGATAACACCTGTGTCCTTCTTTTCCCTCCACCATATGGTGTAGGATGTGTTCTTACATCTAAAGATTTGGAGCTAGGATCCACAAATGAGAGAGAACATACAAGAAATTTGGGGGCATCGGAGGAGTTGAGGGGAGAAGGAAGACCTGTGGGGAGAGGGAGGAGTAGAAGGCTGTAAGTCCAGTATTCATGCATGAAATTCTTAAGTAATAATAATAAAGTATTAACATGAGTACTTCACAAAGCACACCAAGTTTCAAATCTGATGTAATTTCAATTTCTTTTTTTTCTTGTCCGGCCAGTCAATGTTGTAGCTCACGGGCTTTACAGCTGAGTGGGACTATTGAATTCTTTTCTCCCTTGGCAGCTTGCATAGCACCTTCCAATAAGACCTGAGGAGTTGGTTCTCAGGTAAACAAAAAGGTAAAACCATTATGGCGGCACAGAGGAGGCTACAGCATCTCATCAGTCATCAGCCCCACTAAGAGCTGCAGGTGGGCTACTCAGTGTGCTAGACATTAAGTGTCCATTCAATACTCATGTTTCTCACATCACTATTCACAATTGTCAAAATAGAAACAGAGGTGCTCACCAATGAGTGAAAGAACAAAGAAAATGTTGTACAATAGACTATTATTCAGCCACAAAGAGTGGAATCCTGTTGTTTTCATCAATATAGAAGACATTCAATGAGATAAAAAATAAAAAGCACAAAGTCAAATAAGTCAAATGCCACCACTTCTCACATGTGGAAGCTGAAAAAGTTGGTATCCTAGAAATAGAGATAAAAATGGTAAGAAGAGGCCTGGAAGGCTGGAGATGGGGAAGGATAGAGATACACTGCACGAGTACCAGAGTACACTTGGACAGAAGAAACAAGTTCTCATAGCCCAGAGTGGAATTGTATTTTAAATTATGCATCATATATCTTTAAATTATAAGAATTATTTGAAGATTTCCAACACATAGAAATAGCAAATATTGGGGCTGGAGAGGTGGCTCAGCAGTTAAAAGCACTAGCTGCTCTTGCAGACGACCCGGGTTCAATTCCAAGCACCCACATGGTGGCTAACAACCATCTGTAACTCCAGGTCCAGGGGATCTGATGCCTTCTTCTGACCTCTGCAAGCATTGCACAACATGGGTGCACTTACATACATGCAGGCAATACATTCACACATATAAGATAAAAGTAATATATAAGGCTGGGCATGGTGGCGCATGCCTTTAATCCCAGCACTTGGGAGGCAGAGAGAAAATGTTTGAGGAAATAGAAATATAAATTATCTTTATTTAATCATTACACTTTAGATACATAGATCAAGTTATCACACTGTACCCATTTATGTGTGTAGTTGTTCTAGTGCATGGCTCCACACTCATGAGTAAAACATGAAACATGGGCAGCACGAACTGGAATCGCGAGTTATAAAAAATAGGACACAAAGTTAGGAAGGGAAAAAGGCAGATCTGAGAAGAGTTAGGGGGGAGGAAGTTTAAAAGGACATGTAT